CAAAATTAAAGTAGGTTTTTTGCTGCAAGTAGTCAATCATTAATGAAGAATTAATTATATCCTCTCTCATATTATCTTTTTGTTGAATGAAAAATAATAATCTTTAAAGGAAAAGAAAAACAAGAAAAACATGGTGGGAGCTTTATTAATTGATCATATAATTTACAAAATTATTACTAACAAATTAGTTTTATTAACAGATAATTTTTTTATTGATTTTATAAAGAAATTTTTTATTTAGTTAAAACTAATTTATCAACTTATTTCTAAGTAACTTATCACAAAGTTATTAAACTTCTTGCAAAGTTCTTTTACAAGTATGTTGAATTCAAGTTTCTTATTTACAATTAAATTACTTGATAACAATTTTGTTGCAATATAGCACTCTAATTAGTGATGTTAGCCAATAGAAAAACTTAGCCAGCGAAGAACTTAATAAATCCCAGTTGATGAAAACCTTTTCAGATGGTACTAAGCTAGCTGGTATTATTGTTACTACTACTATAGTTATTATTATTACTATTATTTACTATTGTTATTATAATATCTTGTCTTTAGTGGTTCAAATTATTTGTTTTTTTCATTAGGAATTTGAGTATTTGAATTACATTGAAGTTTTATTTGAATAAATGAATAATTTGAATTAAAATAAGAATTTGCATTATGAATAGAAAATCTATGACTTTTATCCTGCTATGATGTATTTTATTTTGCTTTTTGAGTGAATGTATGTTTTTTTTGTTATTCTAAGTAATGTAGGTGGATCCATCTAAATTAAATGTCTATGCCATTGAATTCTGTGCTGAAATTTCAGATGTAAAAATGGAATGTCAAGAGAAAATTTTTTTGGCTGGCTAAGTTGTTTAAAAATTCCTTAGCTGGCTAACATCACTAACCCTAATTACTATTCAACAATTTAATTATGAATCTGCACAAATTTGCGATTTAATTCTGTCTGAATAACTTTTAAAATGCAATATAGTAATAGTCTTTTAAATGTGAATCTACATTAATTTCTACTAAATAACTAATTACGATGTTATACAAATAAATAATAATAACAAGAACTGTCCCAAGACCAGAATGTTTACTAAGAATTGACATATAAAAAACAATTACATTCCAAATAGCATTCATTGTGTTGTGAACAATTATTTGTTTGAGTAGAGGAATAAGAACAGGCATGAATTTGATAATGTAAAAATAAATGTTGGTTTGATTCATGTTGTCAACAATCACTTCACTAACAGTTGTTTCATTAACAAATGGTTCGAATTTAAGAGTTGGAAGTAACCATGCAAACCTTTGAAATAGTCTAATAAATTAAATTGTACTACTTGAAAATGTATTTAAAGGTTGGTTTTTGACTTGGTTGAAGAATAACTCTCTTCCTAACTCTTCTCTTGACCATATCTCTTGATATAATCAAAATAAACTTAATATAATGAATGTCAATGAAATGATTGTAAACACAACAAATTTAAGATATATGATTACCCAGATCATCATCAACTGTATTATCGTTATTTTCAATAAACTCATTTTTGTTTAATCTTTTCGTCATACTTTTTTTAGTGCATTTTGATTTCAACTTGAAGATAGTCCAAGATATCAAACATTTAGATTGGCACCTTTGTAGACAATGATTGTGATAACCATGTCCACATGTGAGTATATACACTACAATTACAGTCAGGGATATTTCCATAGATGGAAATACTAAATACTGTAATGATTGATGGTATGAAAAATTCTAGAAGAAATTCTGATTGGCTAAATTCAACCAGGGATAATACCCTGTAATGATCGACGTTATGAAAGGAAATTCTAATTGGCTAAATTCTGTGCAGATCTTTTTGTTGAATGAAAAATAATAATCTTTAAAGGAAAAGAAAAACAAGAAAAACATGGTGGGAGCTTTATTAATTGATCATATAATTTACAAAATTATATAATATGTACATTTTTAACTTTTCTAGAAATTTACCCAAGATCAAGCAATGCCAGAGATGCTATTTAACTAATATATAGCATATTATTATATTAATAATGATTTTTATTCCATTATTAAATAATTTACTAAGTTGCCATTCATCAGAACAAAATACTTCATTTTAACATTTAAATAATACCATATAATTTCCTTGCCAATTCTATTAAATAATAAATAAAGGATACATACAAAATCCATATAGTAAAATTAAATAATGATTAAAATCAATAGCCACCATTGTAAATAATACAAAATAATTTATTTGGAGTTTTATTCTTACATTTCCATACTGAACTACTTTAGTGCTCCATGCTTGCAATCCAACAAAGTTGTTGCAAAGGCAGTTACGACTAGGTGTTGCAATCATTTGTATATGATGTAAAGGTGTTTACAACCATCATCAAAGTTGCAGTCGGTATCCTTAAAATAAATAAATAATAAAGCCTAAATAAAAGTATATTGTTATTAATAAATTAATTTACATGAATAAATATAGTAATGGTGATTCTGAATATACTTAATAAAAACCAATAAAAATTAAATTCAGGTCGAGATTTTTCTTTGAATTTAAATGATATGGCAGAAAGAGTTTTGGCCTTTACAAAATTTTTATTTAGTAAAATATAATATATACATTATCCCCATATAAAAAATTTTATTTTTGTTAAAACCATACCTCATTGTATATCCACTCTTTAATTCCTTCGTTTTTCAACATTTTAATGTATTGAAAAATGATTTTAACAACTTCTTCATAATTAGCTATAAACATTATATGGTTATAAATAAATAAATATAATCATAACAATTATAACAATTATAACTATTAATTAGAATCGCTCATAAAATTACCTAGACCAGATTCAGTTAAATCAACATCAATATTGAAGAATCCAAATCCTGCACTCACATCTCCTGATCCTGCACCTAAAGAATTTGCTAAACCTTTTCAATAAAAAGTAAGTAAATAAGTAAATAAGTAAATAAATAAATAAACAAAAAATAATGATTTTCTTTTTTTTTTTTTTGTAAATAACAAACCTTTCTTTTTCAACAGTGAAAATATAGAGCCAGTACCTTCATGACCCAATAAATGTGATATATACCTTCCAGGCTTTATAATGATGTTTTACAGAAAAAAAATTTAAAAATTTATAGATATGAAAAAAGTTAAAAAGTATAAAGTGTTAATATATATTACCTTAGTACGGAATAAAGGATCTTGAACTGGAAAAGGAAACTTTATTTCCAAATTTATTAAATCCTTAATAGGTTTAACATATACTTTTTTCTAAATAGACAAGGAGTTAAAATTTTAACATAAATATTATGTTTATATTCAAAAACATTTACCATCAATTCATTTTTAGTAAAAGGGTTTTCTTCAAAACTTGGTGCTGGTATTGATTTATTATTAACATCAGAAAATTTATCCACCACCCATCGAGTTAATTGATCCAAAGGTTCTATTCATCATAAAAAAAATAGATCATCAAAAATAAAAATAAAATCCAAATAATTAAATGATGTGATAAATATATTATTAATAATACCTTGGCCTAACACAACCAATTTCATTATATTTGCTGAATAGTAATTATTGTGGAACTTTAATAACTCGTCTCTAATATCCAATCCTTCTTTAAGTGGATTATCTTTTAAGGTAACTAAATTTCCAGTACCAAATTTTTTATAAGGATGCTTTGGGTTTGATATAGCTTTATCAATTTGATATAATCTTCTGGAATCAGACTGAAGATTTTTTTTAAATTCTATATATATGCATATTTTTTTTTTAAAAAAAGATTAGATTGTCTTCAATCTACCATATATTTTAAGTAAAATTAAATAATATATAATGTGTATTTATATATATATATATATGATTGATCATTACCAGAATCCACTGCAAGAATTTCTCTGTCAGTACAACTATATTAGTTCTAATAGTTCTATTCGTTTATTCGTTTTTATTCGTTTTTATTCGTTTATAAAATATTAATTCACAGCTTGATTTATCAAATTCTATATTAATATTAATATTATTGTTAAGTATTTGTAAATTATAAATAAGGCTTATTTCCTTTAACAAGATAATATAAATTACAATTACTGCTAATATAGTTACTAGTACCATGTCTTAAGAAAATGCCAATTATTATTATAATCACTATATAAAAGGACTACAAAGGAAATTATTTTATTATTATTTAATGTTATTAAATATTAATTAGAAAGATATTCAATAGATAATAATAATACATAATATTAATCTATTAATTAATGAATAGCAGGTAAAGAAAATTTTATCGAGTTTGTATATAATATTAAAATCATCTATCAGGTTAATATGCTATATATTAAATCACAAGAAATGACATTCTTGTATTGCTTAATCCTAAAATTTGGAAGTTATATGGCTAGTTAATAAAATTCCCGCCATGTTTTTTATTTTTTATTCCGTACAGAAATTCAGCAAACAGAATTTCTTTCATAACACCAAAAACAAAATATGTGCGGAATTTTCCTTTAATTTGACGATAAATATTTTTGCAGGTGACTGGCTGTGTTAAAGGCGGCGGATCTCGATCTGAAAACGATTTGCGAGGAGTCTGACATCCATGATCTCCCAGTCATCCCGTTGCTTGTTTTGTTTTGCGCTCCCTGTATTAGTATTGCGGAAGCCACGGCCATCGATGATGAGAATAGCTTTTTTGTCCTGGCAAGAAAAACGTACAATCCGTTCACCGACTCGAACGAAATCGTCAAGATCCCTCGCGTCTACAACACATCGAACCCGAGATTTTCCGCAATTGCGGTGGCATCAAAAAAGTCGCCTATTTTTACCACCGCAGGGGAGTTGTTCACGGACGAAAACCTCACTCAGATCATTTGAACAGAAATTTCCAAACATGGAGCCCAACTGCGAGATTTGTTAAAGGTTTTAAAGGGAGCTAAAGATATGGCAGATTTTATCATAGAAAAAATAAAAATCTTAGAAATGTTTGGTATTGTTACGTCTGGTATATTTATCTTGCCATTCACTTGTTTAATTCTAATCACCTCCTAAATATTAGTATTACCCACTCTGTAGGTTATGAAGCAAAAATTTTGTCTATTGTTAATATTCCTTCAGGAATTTATCTGGCAATAGTAATTAGCTGAAACGAAACTATCTGAAACTTTGGAAACTATATTAAATGGATGGTGAGTAATTGTTAAGGAACTTATTGGTCTTCTTTTGACTCTCATTAATTGTGTTTTGCTTCTCCAGAGAGCCATGGACAAAATTTCCAATTCTCTATGAAGCCCGATGAATTAGGAAATGAAATGACTCCTAACAATGGAGATACCGATTACAGTTAAGGTTAAAGAGGTTAGTTCTTAAAATATCAAATGATCGAATGCTTTGATTTAATTTTTGGGATTGACAGGATGTGTGAACAACTTTTCTGATACTTACAGGCAAAGAAAGAAATTAAATAAATACATATTTTTTAAACTTTTGATCATTCAGAAAACATGGAAAATATTATTGTGATGTATAACTTTAATTAATACTTAGTTTGGAAAACATTAATATTAACGGATTCTTAACGGGACAAATTAAAAATGTTCTTAACGGTTCATAATGGTAATTCGTTAACAACCCAGGCCGTAACACTAGTTGCAGTGTGCCTCACATGTAAAATATATAATTTTAAATTAATTTTCTATTAAAATTATATCATAACCATATGATATATATGTATTTTATTTTGTTGCTTCAATGAAATTATTTAAATCAACATTAGGAATTGGTGTTGGTCCTAAATTCATACTAGATTTCCATAAAGCAATATCTTCAATCAATTCACTATCAACATGAATTTCTTGTTTTCCAATACCATTCTCTTTAATTTTATTATTGTAATCACCATCATCATCATTCAAATCTTTAATAATATTACTGCTGCTTTCATAATCACCATTCAAATATGATTTGCTAATCTTTTTCATCAAGATTTCTATTTCTTCTTCATTTGCCTTGGTCTTATCAACTAAAAATGTTTTCAAAATCTTTTCTAATGCTTGTGCATCAATTTTTCCTGGTTTAGCAGAATTTAAAGCCTCTTCTAATTCTTTTAAATCAAATTTAGTGATTCCTTGCTCATTCAAACATGAATGAAGATATTTTATGTCAATTGGTTTGGTTGTTTGGACTTTTTTCTGTGATTTTAAATGTACTGAAAGTTTTTTATGATTTGGTGATGTTGTATAAAAATGATCTTTGAAAAAATCAAGTATTTCTGATTTTGTAATTTTGTATAGTTCTTCAACATCAATTTCAGCTATATTAATAATAATATATGATAAAGTTATTTGATTTATTAGAAAATTTTTTAACAAAAATAATTTTAATTTTTACTTTTATTAAATTCATAAAATCCATTAGTAATATGATTCCAATATTTATAAGCTTCTTGATATAAATTTTTGGGCTTTTCTGTTTTTATGGTAATGATTGATTGAATTTGTTTCTGATATACTTCATCTGACATTTCTTCGATTATTTTCTAAACAAAATGGTTGATTGATTAATCAATTAATATATACATAAATACATCCATAAATATTAACTAATTAAAAAGTATACTTGTAATTTTTTAAAAAATTCTTCAATTCGATGTTCAAGATAATTTGGATCCCTTTCACTTTGGACCATAAATATTAAACCCCTGATTCCAGTAGTTGCAACTGCCCAATTAAACACCAAATATCCTAATATATAAATCAAAATTAGTTAACAAACAAACAAACAAACATATGTATATATTTAATAATAAATGGCGCTCACCCAATTGTTCTTTAGTTCTGATTTGATCAAAAAAAGGTTGATTAACAATTTGTGCCAATATACTTAATTTGTTTCTTGATTTAACATCTTTATTATGACAAATTTCAATATAATATTCTATTGCTGAATTGACATCATTAGCATCATAAACATCACGTTGATAAACATATCTTTTTCCCACTGGTAATAAAATTGGTCTTTCACCAATTCTTTGTGAAGGAGAAAGTGGCTTAGGTTTTAAGATGTCTTCAAAAATTTTTATATATTTTAGTGAATCTTCTTTATCAACATTTCCATGAACTAAACATTCAATATGTAAATCATTTAATAAATTTGGATAAAAATTTTGTATATCCTGACTAACAATATTCTCCAATGCAGATAATTTTTCTTCATTGGTCCAAAATTTTTGATAAAGTAAATTATAGACACAATTCATTGCAGTTTGGTAAGGTGTATCATATAAGGTATTACGATATCCCCGTAATAGTTTTTCTTTGTATAGATCAAACCTTTTTGAATCAACCTCAAAATTCTTCATTTTCAAAAGTATTTTTTCTAAAAGAACCATTGCTTTATCATTGTATCCAGAAATGTAAATGTAAAAATTTTCATCATGTGCTAAATTATAATAAAGTCCTGCAATTTTTGCACTATAAGAGTATTCATTTAATGCATCTTCTATCAATGCCAAATATAAACGGGTCTTGACAGCATTGGATGGTGTAGTATACACTAGTGGACTAATAAACGATTAATATATTTGATATCATTATTTTACATCATATGAATTAAAAAGTTTTACCTTTGAATTTTGAACCAAATGTAAACTTTAGGTACCCAAAATGTATCATCTTTTTTATACCAAATACGAACCAAGTCAGTGTTTTTAATTAAATTTGGATGTTTGAGGGGCTAATCAAATTATTATATTATTATAATATTTAAATTTGAATAAATTGAAAAATGGAAGTATTCCTAAAAAGATATTTTCTTGTTAATAAACATACAGTAATGACTTCTTGTTTTTTAATCTCAAAGTTTGTTGGAATAAACTCATTTGATAATGGAAGTTTTAATTCAGAGTCAATAGTTTCCGATTTTAATTCCTAATAATATATATATATATAAGTCAACTATTCTTAAGCTAGTAATGAGCCACAATATCAAATAAATATTTTCAATATACTCTACAAATTATATTTAATGGATCTTTTACCTGAAGGAGGTTTTCACTGATGGGTTCAACTTTATACTCTACACCATACCATTTTTCTTTTTGATCCAAATCAGTAAAAGTTTGACTGACTAAAGTAAGGTTAAAATTATCAGGTCTTAACCAATCTAAACTTTCCTGGATTAACTTAGGATCGTATTCCCTGAAAATATAGGGTTTACTTAAGACCCATTCACGAGGATATGAACTTTGCAAAGCATTGGAAAGATAAGAAGTGTAACTTTCAGGTCGAGATTTTTCTTTGAATTTAAATGATATGGCAGAAAGAGTTTTGGCCTTTACAAAATTTTTATTTAGTAAAATATAATATATACATTATCCCCATATAAAAAATTTTATTTTTGTTAAAACCATACCTCATTGTATATCCACTCTTTAATTCCTTCGTTTTTCAACATTTTAATGTATTGAAAAATGATTTTAACAACTTCTTCATAATTAGCTATAAACATTATATGGTTATAAATAAATAAATATAATCATAACAATTATAACAATTATAACTATTAATTAGAATCGCTCATAAAATTACCTAGACCAGATTCAGTTAAATCAACATCAATATTGAAGAATCCAAATCCTGCACTCACATCTCCTGATCCTGCACCTAAAGAATTTGCTAAACCTTTTCAATAAAAAGTAAGTAAATAAGTAAATAAGTAAATAAATAAATAAACAAAAAATAATGATTTTCTTTTTTTTTTTTTTGTAAATAACAAACCTTTCTTTTTCAACAGTGAAAATATAGAGCCAGTACCTTCATGACCCAATAAATGTGATATATACCTTCCAGGCTTTATAATGATGTTTTACAGAAAAAAAATTTAAAAATTTATAGATATGAAAAAAGTTAAAAAGTATAAAGTGTTAATATATATTACCTTAGTACGGAATAAAGGATCTTGAACTGGAAAAGGAAACTTTATTTCCAAATTTATTAAATCCTTAATAGGTTTAACATATACTTTTTTCTAAATAGACAAGGAGTTAAAATTTTAACATAAATATTATGTTTATATTCAAAAACATTTACCATCAATTCATTTTTAGTAAAAGGGTTTTCTTCAAAACTTGGTGCTGGTATTGATTTATTATTAACATCAGAAAATTTATCCACCACCCATCGAGTTAATTGATCCAAAGGTTCTATTCATCATAAAAAAAATAGATCATCAAAAATAAAAATAAAATCCAAATAATTAAATGATGTGATAAATATATTATTAATAATACCTTGGCCTAACACAACCAATTTCATTATATTTGCTGAATAGTAATTATTGTGGAACTTTAATAACTCGTCTCTAATATCCAATCCTTCTTTAAGTGGATTATCTTTTAAGGTAACTAAATTTCCAGTACCAAATTTTTTATAAGGATGCTTTGGGTTTGATATAGCTTTATCAATTTGATATAATCTTCTGGAATCAGACTGAAGATTTTTTTTAAATTCTATATATATGCATATTTTTTTTTTAAAAAAAGATTAGATTGTCTTCAATCTACCATATATTTTAAGTAAAATTAAATAATATATAATGTGTATTTATATATATATATATATGATTGATCATTACCAGAATCCACTGCAAGAATTTCTCTGTCAGTACAACTAGGGTCAAATAATGGTGATATAAAAAATTGTGCAAATCTATAAAAAATTAATAATTAATTGATTAATTAATTAAAGCTATAATGATTATTCTAAATTTTAAAGTATATATTAAGTATTAGTTACCTATCCAAAGCACCTTCCAAATTTTCATGAGCTACTTCAAAATAATAATTTGTATGATCTACACTAGTATATGCATTTGAATATCCACCATGATTTGATAGGTACTAATGAATTATACATTATTATTATGCAAATAAGTCCAAAGATAGATATTAACACAAATAATAAGTTTCAATTACCTCAGAGTATTCATTTTCTTTTGGATACTACAAATAAGTAATATAATTTTAAGTATAATATTGAAAAATTTGATTTCACGAGGTTTCTATATCAACTGATCATTTGTGATTTCTTTACCTTTTTTGTGCCCTAAATATTATTAAAAATGAATTAATTGGTTTAATTATTTAAAAAAAAACATGTATATAAATATTACCATGAATAAAAGATGTTCACAGAAATGAGCAAGACCTTCTAAATTGTCCTAAATAATTATAATAAAAAAATTTCACAAAAACATCAAAAAAAATATATAAACAATATGTATATGGTAGAAAATCATACTGGGTCAGATAACTGTCCAACATGAACATCTAAAGCAGCACTAGACTTGT